AGGGAGCAGGAGTGCATGGAGTGCAGGACACAGGGAAGAGGTAACTATGGGGAAGAAATGGGAGGGGATTTGTTACATTTTGGGAAATTGTAGTGAATGTCATGAGACAGTGTATGTGAACTGCTGTAGAGAAAGTGAATTTGCTCTATAAACTTTCACCCAAATCACAATTAAAAAAAAAAAAAAGAATGACAATCATCAAGTGATACAAATGGTTCTGATCCCACAGGATGGAAAGGAAGGTGTAATGATGATGAGCAGGTAGGACAACTGCACTAAACCTCAATTCCTCTTCACTTATGTATGTTAGAGGGTGTGTTAGTTAAGATTACATGTCAACTTGGCTGGGCCTGGTTGAGTGGCTGGGCAGCTGGTTGCAGTTATTCCCCATGATGAGACTGGTAATCATCTCCATGGTGGAATCTACTGTGAGCAGCTGCCTTAGGGATGTGGTCTTTATTCAGCAGTCTGCCATGTTGCCTGCCAATCTTGGGACTTTCTGAACTTGAACTAATAGCCTGCTGTGTTGCTTAACAATCTTGGTACTGTGCCATTTCACTTGTTGACCTTGGGTTTGTCAGCCTCAGCAGCCATCAGCTGCCTGAGTTAAGAGAAACCTCCAGCTCCAGTGGGCCAGACACATGGGGCAGAGCTGGAGCCCAAGGTCGAGTGGCCTTCACCCAGTCCCTAGAGCTCACACTTTGAATTTGCAATTCTAGCATAAATCCCTATTTGTTCAAGCCATCCACTTGTGGTATTTTCTGTTAGAGCAGCTCTAGAGGATCACAATAGAGGGTAAGGGGATAAAAAGAGAAAACTGGTTTCTCAGAGTATTCACAAATCACCTTCATTTTCAGTTTTGAAATATAACCAAAAGAGCAGTCAAACTATTCTGTATTATACTGTAATGGTGGACATATGACATTATGCATTTGTCAAAACCCATCGGACTATACAACACTAAGAGTGAACTCCAATGTAAATTATGGACCTTACTTAATAATAATATGTTAATATTGGTTAAGGAGCCCTGGTGGCAAAATGGTTAAATGCTTGGCTGCAAACTGAAATGTCAGCTGTTCAAACCCATCAGCTGTTCCACAGGAGAAAAATGTGACAGCCTGTTTCCACAAAAAGTCCAGCCTTGGAAACCCTATGGGGCAGTTCTACCCTTCCTACAGGGTCTCTATGAGTCAGAATCAACACAATGGGAATAAGTTCTTTTTTTCAATAATGCTTCATCAATTTCATCACATGACCTACATAAATGAAGGATGTTAATAAGAGAAACACTGTGTATATGGGAAATCTCTATATTTTCTGTACAATTTTTCCATAAGCCTAAACCATTCTAAGAAAGTAGTCTATTAAATTACTATATATAATATTTATATAATATATATTGATTATATGTACATATATATATGTATGTATATGTGTGTGTGTGTGTGTGTGTAATGGAATAAACCTAGGTAGGATTTTATGTGACCTATGAACTTAATTGAGGTCTTGTATAGATAAGGTGGTCTGGTGGTGCAGTGCCTAAGGCATCTGACTGCTAACCATAAAGTAGGCAGTTCAAACCCACCAGTCACTCAGTGGAAGGAAGACAGGCAATCTACTTCTGCAAAGACTTACCACCTTGGAAACCCAATGGTGCTTCCTATGAGTTGGAATCAACTAGATGGCAGTGGGTTTGGGTTTTTTTTGGTATAGATATGAAAGAATGACCTAGGTGATTTCTGGGGATCCCTTCCCATTCTACATACTATTGAATTATACCTTAGAATTAGAATTATTCATTATGGTATATAAAAATAGCACTAGAGACTGGAACAATTCAGGGTATCTAGCTGTGCGGTCCCTGGAGAATTTGTAACAACACTGTAACCCACACTTGTTGTAAAAGTAGTAGATGGCCAAATAGGTAAAAGTATGGAAAGTTAGTAGGTTTCTTATTATTTTTGTTATCAAAAGCAACTTTTTGTTTATTTCAAAAGATTTATAAACATGGAAAAGTATATGCATACATGGTTGTGTGTGTGTGCAATATAGTTATTATAAAACACAATTTGCCAATCTCCGGAGCGGTAACTAGACATTTAAATATTGCATTTTGGGTGAGAAATTGTTTTGATGATGAAAGAATATAAAAATAATTAAGTTCCCTTAGGTGTGAGTCTCTCCTTCTGTAGAATATTATCTCTTGCACATAGATCTCAGATACCCTTGAAATACTTGCAATACACACTGCTACTGCTCCTTCCAATGAGAGCCTCAGACTTTTTGGCTCTGATTCATCCTGCTGCCCATGAATTCTGGGACATTCTCTGCCAAATAACCCAAAATCTAGTTATGCAGAAGGTGATTAAATTAGTTCACGTCAAATATCCTCTTTGAGTTCCACTTTCTGAAAGGGAAGAGTTTCAATCAAATGGACTTATTCTCCTTTGGGCTAAAGACTCTTGAGGAAACACGGAACCATTTACAAGGCCACAGAGTGACATTTAAATTTCCTAATACAGCAGTCAGTTTTTCACTTACTTTAGCAAGACTTCAAGCAAACTTCCCTTACTGTTATCTCATGCATTATTTGGAGCTTTTATTCAAAACACTTTTGTGTACAAATGACTTAACGACACCTCCTTGATGGATTCAGAGTCTATAATCTTCATATACTAATAGAAAAACAGGTTTTGCCCAATGTTACAGATGAACCCTTTGCACCTTTCCCCTTGGCTGCCCTCCTTTAAAGTCCTCATTAAAAGCTTGCCATAAAATTACACTGTCTTTGACTTTCCAACTCCTGCTGTGTGGTATTTGGTTCACTATACAGGCAGTTCCCAAGTTATGAATGTCCCGATTTGTGGATAAATGTCCCAACTTTTGGATAACTCGTACTTGCCCTATAATGTTATATAAATTTACCCTCATTTTGAGATGATTGAACCAACCCTACTGTAACAAATTCATCTCCTTCACTTGCTGCTTGTGCAGCTTTTAAATCGTTAAAAAGGCTTTGAGCCCTTTCCTGCACTAAAGTAAAGGTCAATAAGAACTGTATACACCTGCTCCAACTGAGCAACAAATTCAGATTAAAGACATAACCCAGGGACTGTCCATACACATAACTCAGTTTGAATATTAATACCCTATTTATTTTTTTAGGTTTTCAGTCTCAAAACAATACAAATATCAAAGGTCCATACATACAAAATGAACTGGAATTAAGTAAATTTAGATAGTCAGCAAGCTAAAAATGGAATGAACCAGTCTCTCTGGTTATTCTTTGCAGTAATAATATTCATTGAAGTTAGTAAATTTCCTCCCTCAGAAAATCTGTTTACAGAATGTCATGCTATTCACCTACTGCTCCTTGGTATACCCACAAGTCCCGTAGGCCAGGGTGTCTGTGTCCATATTCCTCTTTGAAGCGAGCATTTCTCACCTACGTAGCCAAGGTTGATCAACCATGAAGAGTTTTTTTATTTTTGGGTTTTATTTTTGACAAACAGTATTGGAGCTTGAAATGGGAGAAGAATCTGAAAGAAATGCTTTCAGATGTAGATATGAGGAACTTTCTCCTCCCCTCCAACTTGCCCCTCTCCACCCTCCCACTTCTCTCCAGTGTAAACTATTTTACACACTAAAATTTTAAACATTTGGTTTACGGTATTGATGTTCTTACTTCATAAGAACAAATCCCAGAATACATGGTCAGTCAACAGTAAGATTCTTCTGAGGGGTGACTACAAATAAACTGGAACAAGATGCATACACAGATCTAGCCTCCCCTTCATTTTACTGATTCTAATTCTTATTCTCCTGATAAACCTGTTCTTAGTCCTTAGGGGAGTGTGGGTTTACTTGATTATAATGTCTTTTATTTCATTCCTTGAGGTGATTACCTTTACTAGGATTTTGCCTTTCAAACTTTGAGGGCTTGGAAGTTGCTTGCAATCTTCTGTGTCTACAGAAGATAGATCCAGTTTGTCTCGGAATATTCCCTTCAGGTACTGAGCAATCTTCTTTTGCTGCTGAATACTGCAGTGATTCTCAATGGACAATATAACTGGAAACCTGACAAAACAGCAACACATTCCAAACACATCAGGTTAAGGCATCTCACTGGGACTTTTGAAAATTGTTCTGTATGCATTGAGCTCTTACACAATGCTTACCAGCATTTGTGATGGTGACAGTGATTAAAATGCGTCTAAAATGAGGAAGATTAGAGATGCACTTATAAAAAGCTCCTTTGAGCAAATACACTTCACTATGTATAATGGCTGAACAAAATACCAATCCCTGTGAGATGACTTAGTGTAATATTTTTTATCAGGGAAAAAAAATGGTAAGCACATTATGTATCTCCTAAAAGAGAAAAACTTAAGAGAGATAATGAGCTTAAAGAAAGAAAACTCACATAATGTAATTTTGCCTTATTTATCTAAAGTCTGGAAATATCTAAGGAACCAATGAATATAAATAGATGCAGTTATTTATTCAGAAAAATATATAATCAGCCTAGAGCTTGAAAATTACTATTAAGGCTAAAATAGCATAATGGAATACTGTGTTTATAGCCCCCTATATCAGGCATTTCAAATCATTTTTATAAAATTATATACTAGTCTTTACTTTAAAAAATAATAACAAAATAACTCAATCATTCACTCTATCAGCATTTAAGTTTCCATGGTTAGAATGTGAAGCACATGTAAAATGATTACCCAAAGACACCCCAAGGAATTGGGCAAAGCAGAAGAGGAACCAAGGCTAATGACATGATCTTGCTGTTCTTCTGTTATATCCCTCATAAAGAAAAGTTATATCAAATTCAGGTTTATTGATTTGTTTCTTTTCAATGTGCTATCTTCAGAAGTAATAGGCAATGTCTTGTCTTTTTTTTTTTTTCCCCCTCCCCAGAGTATACACTACCAGTATTTAAATTGTTTAATATATCGATGTACAGAAGGAAAGTCTATTTGCGGGCTTTTATGACAACAAACAAGGTCCACAACTAGGTATAACCTTCTGAAATTACACTCTATCCTCATTAGTAAAACCCAATTCCTAAGGTAAAATAGGAGCTCTGGTAGCGTAGTGCCTAAGGCATTTGACTGCTAACCAGAAAGCTGGCAGTTCAAACCCACGAGCCACTCCTCGGAATGAAGGTTGGGCAATCTACTTCCATAGTGATACTGCCTCAGAAACCCAAGGAGGGGTCCCTATGAGTCAGGGCCAACTTGATGGCACATAACAACAACAAGGTAAAATTAGACTTGAATCTATGTGATTGACATTGGTTTGTTTATCTGCCTGTAGTCTGTGTGCTTACTGCATCCTCATACAAGATTCACCCTGGAGTGTTAGGAAGACAGAGAAACAACAACTAGCAACCCTGAATTGCTTATGTAATTACATCAGGGACTTTTAACAGCAAGTTTATACATTATCGATCAGTTTATTAAAAGTCTATTAGTGCCTAATGATGCTTAGTGTATGGTAGTGCTTCTCAACAAGAGATTTATGTTCTTCATACACCTACTCAGGGGACATTGGCAGTATTTGGAGGCATTTTTGGTTGTTACAACTTGGAGAGTGGGTATCTACAGGCATCCTGTGGTAGATGCTGATAGTCATTCTATAAAGCATAGGACAGTCTTCCCACAACAAAGAATTACTTGGCCCAAAAGATCAATAGTGCCGAGGTTGAGAAACTCCAGTACAAAGATACAGCTAAAGTTTGAGAAAGAAAAGATAAAGACTGAGCTTTTAAAAAGTGCTGAACAGCTTATTAGCTGGCTTAATTTGAGATGCCTTTCTGCTAAAGGTTCCCAAATGTATAGTAAGCACTATCAAGTCACTAGAGGTTCCTATAAAGTTCACAGGTTACAAGTTTTCTCATCAGCCTATTTCATAGACTGGGAAATAAAGGCAAAATTACTTCTTCAGCCTGGCTAAGACTAGCAGATATCAGAGTCATGCCGACCAACCAGAATTCAGTTCTTGAGATTCTTCTATGTAAAGGATACCATCAACTAAAACTACTCTGCAACAAGTGTCTCTTATTAGAACTGCATTTTAACTTCATGATTAGTTAGTAAAAACAAATACTAAAAATTTCAAAGGATACTAACTCATAAAAAACTAATATTACTTCAATTCACTTCTTTTAATTCAAAATAATTACTTGACTGCCTGGTACATTATAGGTACCATATTAGGCAATAAAGAATGAATAAGACATAGCTACTCATTTATAGTGAATTCACAGTCTTAAAGACTTAAAAGGTGGCAAGTAAACCAGTGATTTTTAGAGATTGCTGCATGATAGACAGAAATACGTTCAGGGGTCTAAAACAGAGGGACCCAAAACCAAACTCACTGTCATTAAGTCAATTCCAACTTATAGTGACCCTTTTAAGACAGAGTAAAACTACTCCAAAGAGTTTCCAAGGCTGTCAGTCTTTACAGAAGCAAATGTTTCATCTTTGTCCTGTGGAGTGGCTGGTGGGTTTGAACTGCCAGCCTTTTGGCTAGCAGCCAATGTTTTAAGCACTGTGACACCACAGCTCCTTGAAGTGGGGGGAGAAGACAAACTCACTGCCAATGAGTCAATTCTGACTCATAGTGACCACCTTTGGGTTTCCAAGGCAATAAATCTTTACAGAAGTGATCACCGAGTCTTCCTTCCATGGAGTGGCTGGTGGGTTTGAGCCACCAGCCTTCCGGTTAGCAGTCAAATGCCTTAGGCATGACAACACCAATGCTCCTTTGAACAGAGGAAAGGAGGATATAAATCAGTTGGTGGTATCAGTAAGTTTGCCAGAGGGACATTGCTTAAACAGAGTTTTGTAGGTTGAGCAGGAATTATTTATGCAGAATAATGAGTAAAGAGGTTCCAGGCAGAGAGTTACACGTGTCAGGGCAAAGAGATGTGAAAGAGCCAAGTTCATGGGGGAAGCTAAAGACAGTCATTGAAAGCAGAAGCCAAATCTGTATGCAGCAATAGTGAAAGATGACCCAGGAAGAGAAGTTCAGGTCTTGAAGGACGAGTGGAAGATGAGCCAAAGGGGAAATGAAAATGAAAAGAATGCAATGGAGGCAAAAGATTTTTAAGAATAAAACTGGCAGAATTGGAGAAATCTAGAATGACTTCCAGTTTCTGGCTGAAACCAAATGGTAGACAGCACTGCCCCCTTGCTAAAAGGAAATAGAGAAGAAGGAGATTTGGCAGAATTAGATGATGTTTTCAGTTTGGAGTGTAAGCTCCTTGACAGTAAGACTCTCATCTTTTGTTCCGTGCTGTACTTCTTCACCTATCACACTATGTCTGGCTTAGAGCTATTGTTGTTACTTGCCATCAAGTCAATTCTGAGTCATGGTGGCCCCATATGTACACAGTAAAACTGCTGGGTTTTCAAAGCTGTGACCTTTTGGAAGACCTATCGTCCAAACCACCTCTGGGTGGATTTGAACTGCCAACCTTTCAGCTAGTAGTCAAGCCCTTAACCATTTGCACCACCCAAAGCATCTGGCTTGGCACCTGTGGAAAGAGTAAATGAATGAAGGTTGTCTATTTTGAGGTACATATGGAATATTCAGATGGATTTTTACTGAATTTTTTATATATAGGGCTGGAGCATAGGAAAAAGTTATGGACATATAGTTAGACAAATATCCAAAATAAAATAGACTGATGGCAACACCTTATGAAATATTAACTATGAAAAGAGTAAAGAAATGGAATAGAAGACCACAGCCCCAAAAAAGAAGTATGAAGCAATGACAGCAATGGACAGGGGAATGTTATGATGAAAGCCAAGAAAACAGTCCACATTATCAAATGCCAAGGTGGAGTCAACTAACAAGGATGCCAGACACCTTAGAATAGACAGGACACCCAGCAAGTCTGACAACGCAGATTATTTTCTTATTGGACTGTAATGTATTATCAATAAGTTATTTATCATGTATAGTTGCCTGTGTTTCCTGACTTTATGGAAGCTTTGTACATCGTGAATTTAGAAACTGAGAGGTCACTCTTTCTAAGAATGTTTTCAAGGACTCAAAGTGAGAGAGAATGGAATAAAAAATACATGAAACATGAGAAAGCACAAACAGGGAGCCCATATTATTTGTTCATGATGTTTTTGCTGGGAAGGAAAGAGAGAAAGAGGGTAGTAGGAAGACACATGCACAGTCCAAGGAAGAGTGAGTAGTTTTGTAGTCATGTAACGTCTGGTGACATTCCATCTGCTAGCCACAGAGTTTAGCTCCAGATATTGCTAAACTTACTCATTCTTCACAAAGGCGTGCTTGTTGATGGTCTCCACCACATCTCTGAAGAGAATTTTTGAAGTGAGGGTATAACCATGATGTACCACTGGCTCTCCATCTGGGCCGTCCCAACAGTCAACTGCCAAAAACAGAATTTCATGTCAACAGCCCAAAATCATTGGTGTTTACCAATTTTTCTGTCAACACCACACATATATTTTAAGTTATTCTTTGAGACTATACCCATTACGATCATGACAATAATATCAGAAAAACAAATGGGGGCTATGGCATACTTACTATTATAGTAAGGGAATCAAAGATAATAAATAGCTTGTTTTTGAGTGCTTACCATTAGCAAACATGGCAAATTCATAAGTAGCTTAACCTTTGTCAAGAACTTTCTTTCCAAGTTGATCTAAATCCAATCAAGTGCCCCAAAGACTGAGAGGTATTTCTGAAAAGATTGTTCTTCCAGTTTTACTTCTTCAGGTCACTAAGTTCTCTTATTAAGTTGGCAAGTCCTTCTCAACTCAGTTATGGAGTTTTTCATTATTATTCACTCATTATGTTTCTATTGATGTATTTATATTCTATTAATTTTAGTTATAAAAACAACATTGATTTTCTAAATTTGAATTCTTTGGTCCTGCCAAGATTTATGTAAATATGGGCATATTTACATATTTAATTATTTAATTATATAAAGCTTTGTTTTTCCCCATCTATAAAAGAATAATAATAGTACTTACATCATAAATTTGAGCAATGATTAAATACATGTAAAGTTGCTTAGAGCAATGCCTGACACATAGTAACAATTATTGTTCTTGATGCTAATGATACTGTTACATATGCAGACAACCTCATTCCCTCCCAGCTGGAGAATGACAACCACTTGCTCAGTACCCTTCCAGACTTGGCATTTGCCTTCCCTTGTTTTACAATCCTGCCTTTAGATTAATTCATAAAAAAACTGGTTTCATTATGTTGACCATTTGCTCAAAAGCCTATTTAGTGCATTGCATAGTGTCTAACACATAATAGACATTCAGTAAATATATAATAAATGTATTAGTAAATTTCCTGTAGAAGCTTCTGACTTCCTTCACTCAAAGATCTTCATTTCTTGTTCTAGGGACTTGTCATTCAATGAACCTATTTTCCCTTTGCCCTGGCACATAGCTAGACCACATTTCCCAACCCCCCTTGCAGTAGGATGTGAGTAATGAAATGTGGACAGAAATGATGTATACCATTTCCAGGTCTGGTCCATGAAAATATGCCTTACCCAGCCATGCTCATTGCTTTTCTGCTGTGACTTTAGAAGTCATGTGCTAAAGATGGAATAGCCACAAGATGGAAAGTATCTCAACCCCTGAATCATTCATTGCTTGAATGATTCACCCATAAGAACACCCATTTTGGATTTCACATGACCAAGAAATAAACTTCACTTGTCTAAGGCACAGAAATTTGAGGTTTTACTGTTAAGGAAACTAGTTTTGCCTTAATTAATATACTAGCAGCTGCCTGACAAGTCAAACTTATTTTCCCTACACCCAAATTCACAGACTTGTTCTTTCAGTTTGATAAGTTTCCCAATATGCAATCCCGGAGAGTTCTGGCAAGATGGCAAACTAGGCAGAAGGACTGCACAGACTCTCTTCAACAAAGAAAAGGGAAACCAATTAACACAGACACAGAAGATAATCTTGG